CTGTCATGGGTGTTATATTTATATAATTTATGGCATACGAATCCAATTCTAAGTTTTGTATACCTGTGGTGTAGCACCACGCCTTTCTCAGCAGGGATAGATATTGATATGGTCGTGTTTTATATCTCCTTTTAATAGTGACTAGAAATTTCCAGTCTGCGCTACAAATTTAATTTAAACTTAATTTAAACGCGCATGAAGAAGAGTTTGTTTCTTATTAAACGTATAGCTATGTAATGGGCTATATGTGCTATGCTCACCGCGAGTACCGAGACCCGTTTTTCAGCGTTAGAAGCCCGCATACTCACCGCTGAGAGCCATCAGGGGGCTAAAGAAGAGGAAGATAGCAGTAGACAAAAATAGGTTCACATTGATGCAACTATTTAATGGAAGCGAAACATTTGTAATTAAGCACAAAGCTACACAAAGGGCTATCTGTGCTCTGCCCACCACGGGTATCGAAACCCAGATTCTAGCGTTATAATTCCGCAGACATACCGGTGCCACTGGGGGAGGAAGTGAAAGAGAAAAGCATTAATTCACTGAAGAAGAGAGAGTAAATAATTAATAATTATAAAATGATAAAGAGCAGTTTGTTGCCTCCCTATGGTCAGTGGTTTGAATTATGGACAGCGACACGCTATTTTCACTATGCGCTGTCAAACGTGCTGCGATAGGACTTCATAATTGGAGGGAGGAGAACCTGTGATTCGACCAGTGCTATAACCTCCTCTACCGTGTACATAGCCAAAGAGAGCTTTTGTTGGGTTTTTTTTTAGCGCAAAGCTAAACAATAAACTGTCTACGACTTGTCCACCAGGGGGAACAGAAACCCGGATTTTAGCGTTGCAAGTCCATACACTTACTGATGACTCACCTATTAGGTATCTTTATAGAGAGAAGTTCTTAGAATGTAACCTCCTGTTCAATGAATTTCATATTTTACTCTTCATAAAATATTGATACGAAAAGACTTGTGGTTGTTTATCGTTAAGCTATGGGTTACCTGTGATGTGCCCACCACGGGTATCGAAACACTGTTTCTAGCGTTATAAGTACACAAACTTACCGCTGTGCCACTGGGCACATTAACAGAAGTGAAATATTTTCTGATATTTTATTTACTCGAACGTCTCCATAACGGTCGTACTAGCAAAACCATGACAAGTTTTAGTAGAGAAAGCTAAATAAAGACATTATCATAAAGAACCGCTTTTTTTTTTCCGATCCAAATTTAAAAACAGGTAAACAAAGAATACTGGATTAAATTTTTGTGCTGTCTGGTCGTGACCGTCAGAGGTACAATAAAATAAATGGAGTCCATCTGTAAATGATGTGCACAGGAACCAGAAGTTGAAACATTTATTGAATAAACTTACTTTATGCCTCCTGGTGGCTCGCAGTAAGCTTGGGAGCTTATAACATTAGAGTTTGGGGTTTGATTCCCGTGACAGACACAGACCATTTTTTATCATTAACTGAAGCCCAAAGATAACTTACACTTCACCTTAGTTTATAATAGAATGTTGTGTATTTAATTGTGTGCCCCGGTGGTTAAGTCACTCGACTCACAATCTGCGGGCAGTGAGTTCGAATCCCGTCACCGAACATTCTCGCCCTTTCAGCCGTCGAAGCAATATAATATGACGGTCAGTTCCACTTTTCCTTGGTAAAAGAGTAGCCCAAGAGTTGGCGGTGAGTGGTGTTGACTAGCTGCTTTCCACCTAGTCTATCACTTCTAAATTAGGGACGATAGTTCTCTGATTTTGCTTTATTATAATTCAATCTAGTCCAGAAACCATGTAAAACGATCCCATATCTGTTGAACTTTAAAAATGCTGATTTCTAGGTTCAATAATATGTAAAACCTAACTACTGACAAGAACATATTAAAATAACAACCTGAAATCAAAGTCAAATGGTGAAACGTGCCTCCTTTTGGACCATGCAACAACTAATGATGTATGACAAACAAGATATTCCAGAGGACATAAAGGCATATTAAACACAATTGTTTTGAAAAAATGAAACTAAACATCTCTAGTGTTATTCTGCTATTTATAATATTCTATATTATTGTACAATAGGTTTGTTTGTTTGTGGGGAATTAAGCACAAAGCTACACAATGGGCTATATGTTCTCTGCCCACCACGGGTATCGAAAACCCGGTTTCTAGCGTTGTAAATCCGTAGACATACCGCTGTGCCACTGAGAGACTGTACAATATCTTGTTGTTGTAATGCATTCGTTGAATATTTGTAATTACATGTTACAAGTTTGGCCAGCAGATGGCACTAGTTTATACATTATCTAGGTGTTTGGAAGTTAATATAGAGTAAATATATCATCACACATCTAAGTTAATCTTATTGTAAACATATCATCACACATCTAAGTTAATCTTATTGTAAACATATCATCACACATCTAAGTTAGTCTCA